AGCAGCCGAGCCGGGCGCCCGGACGCCTGCGCGTGCGCCTGCGCAGTTCGCCCCCCTGGAAGGCAGGGTTGGGCCCCTGGAACGGGCGTGACGCATGCGCCCTTTCGTCGGGCCCCCGAAGGGAAGCGGTCGCGGGTGTGCGTGTGGGTGCCCCTGGTTTTGTCACCTGCCGGTTCTCCGAACTGCAAAGTTTAGAAACAGTGCTGATTGCGCATGGCTGACTAATAATCGGTTTTCTTTTCTCCTCCATCGGGCTGATTCCTTTTGTGAAGGGGAAAACGTGCACTGTCCCAGTTTGCAGCGGCCTCGTCGCCAGTGCTAGAGTGGCAGCCTCCAGACGTCCTCCCTGGGGTTAGGAGGAGCTGCTTGGAGCACATCTCTGGCAGAGAGTTGCACGCTTTGTATTATTGCATTTTCATTTAGAAATTGCCGCCAATGGGAGAACATATCTGTTTAACCTGGTTTTGATTTTGTACTTAAATTCATATTATTATTCTGTGCATGCAATAGGTGGTCTCTCCCAATGCCCACGACCAGGTGAGTAGTTAAAGGAGTGTCCCGAGGACCCTACGTCCCTACTCACCTACCCACTGCCCAGCCTTAATTCCCAGTGAGTTGAGGCTACCTTGGATATGTACCATTTTAGTGGCTCTCAAAAGTTATCGTCGCCGGGCGGTGGTGGCGCCGGCCTTTAATCCCAGCACTCGGGAGGCAGAGCCAGGCGGATCTCTGTGAGTTCAAGGCCAGCCTGGACTACAGAGTGAGTGAACAGGCACAAAGCTACACAGAGAAACCCTGTCTTCAAAAACAAACAAAGTTGTTGTTAAATTTTTCTTTTTGATAATCGAGATATACAAAGTGGCTTAAAAGGTGTCCGGATGGAATTATAATCTGATAAATTGAAACCAAGAGCAGCCAGCTGGGTTGCTCAAGGGGCTTAGCAATTTTCCTAAGTGGGGTTTCTGGTGAGATTCCTTTAAAAAAAATTAACAGATTTATGGCTAGAAAGGGGTAGGGCCTTAAGCATGCACTAACTGTGCTAAAAGTCTTGCTTCTCCGCTGGAAAAAGACAGCAACCCAGCTGGGTGAGGAGCCCCCAAATGTGCCCGTCTTTCTAAACTGCTTTACTTGGATTTAGAAAATAGCCTGATGTATGACCATCTTCTCCTTTGACTGGGACATGGTTTGCGGGATAGCCTGAGTCTTTGTTTTCAGGCCATAGTCATTCATAATTGGGTCCAGAATAAACTCTTAGTCTTTCTGAGGTGAGAACTGTGTTTTTTCCATCCACACAAGGAGCACGTTTCAAGATTATTTAAAATGTTTACCTCGTTAGGTCTAGACATTCCATTCTGGGGAATGCATCCTACAATTCAGTGAGAATTCTAAAATAAACTTGTGTTCAGTGTGTGACCAGTCACATAAACTAAATTCCCTACAATGGGAACAGTGATTAAATCACACCAGCGGTGCACGTGGTAAACACTGATTGCTTTTGAGACAGGGTTCTTTGTGTTGCACTGGCTACCCTGAAACTTGCTTTATACCCAGGCTGGCCTCGAACTTGAAGATCAATCTTCTTCACTACAGATGCTTCCAGAGTGCTAAGGTTAAGGTATGCACCACCACACCTGCCCAGTGTAATAGATAATATATGGCAGCATTCAGTTGGTTAGTTAGATCTTAGCAGGCTTGATGGTCACTGAGAACAAACTCTCCTCTTACAGTTCATAGCATGTAAAGCCAAAACTGAAACTAAAAGACTTTCATTGTTAATCAAAGATTGTTTTTTAGACCCAGAGAGGAGAGATACCACAGGCACCGGATTCCCAGAAGCCTGCCCATGCACCAGGGACAGATCCCCATCCCCCTGCCTGGGTGCCCCCCCCCAACAGTTTGAGCCAAACAACCGTCTTGCGTGTCCAGAGGGGCTAGTCCAGTCCCATGGGGGCTCCACAGCCACCAGTCCACAGTTCATGGGTTTCCACTAGTATGGCCAGTCATTTCTGCATGTCCTCCCATCATGATCTCGACGTCCCTCACCTGCGGTATCTCTCCTCTCTCTCATCAATTGGATTACCGAAACTCAGCCTGGTGCCTGTCCATGGATCTCTGCATCTGCCTCCATCAGTCACTGGACAAAGGCTCTATGATGACAGCTAGGTTATTTGCTAGGCTGGTCACCAGAGTAGACCGGTCCAGGCACCCTCCACACCACCGCCAGCAGACCAAGGTGGGGTCAACCTTGTGAATTCCTGAGAGTCTCTCCTGGGGAGTTCTTCACAGAAACCTCTACTCAGGTATAGCTTTGCTGTAGGGGAGAGTTTCAATAAGATCCGATATGAAACCCTCTTGAAGTGTATCAAAAGGCTTTTAAAACACGTATTTTAAGCACAGAGATTAATAAAAATGAAGGGACTCGGGGAAAGGGTAAATCTTGGGAAAACATGGGTGTGCACTTCTCAGGAGAGAGTCACACTTCATTGTCTTTACAGTGGCCCCACGGACATTTTGGGCTGGGTTTTCAATGATCTTTAAAGGCTCACTAAGGAATTTAAATGAGACCACAGGGTAGCTAGCTCCTGGGGAGTCTTGGGTGGGACTGCAACTGATCATATAGAACAGCGTGCAGGGTGCAGCAAGTTAGGACATCTCTACCTCAAACAAAAGTCTTGTTTGTGAGAAGACCTCCATAAAATATCAAGGAGTGAGGACATACATGAGGCCTTATGCGTTCAGTCTAGTGGATTGTTGTTAGTATTCTTGTTCTTATGTTTTACAGTTTTAAAAAGAATAATTTTTTTTTCTGTGTCTGCAGCCTTCACAGTGAATGTTAATTGTGCTGGAATCCTTCACTGTCAGCTGGTGAGAGGCTTCAACCAGACTCCAGAGTAGGGGTTGTTTTATTTTTTTTCCCATGTCCCCATAATTTCCTCTGCCTTTGTATATTATTCCTATATACTACCTCAATAACATTGCCACCACCACCCTTAAGAGTTAACCAAATGAGCCTGTCACTCAGTAGACATGGAAATACCCGTCCAGAAGGTGTTCCAGAACGTTTAAGCACAGGAAGCCTTCCTGAACATGTAGGTCAGCACAGTGGTCTCTGGCTGTTGTCACCCTAAGCCTGATAGACCTTGCCTTTACAGTGGCCTTTTGGCCTTTGGCCATGCTCACTGTGTGGAGTGCCTCACACTCTTCAGTAATAAATTTCGTCTGTCTTCTACAGTATGCTCTGTGGGGGACATCTGAATTCCTTTCATGGAGACCCAGAGCTAAGAGGAAGCTGTAATGAGGCCATGGTAACAATTTCCCATTCTTTATTTAGTCTGTATTTTTACTAAAGAGGGGCAGAAATACCTACCACTTTCCTTTCTAAAAGCTTCCAAATAAATACTATTATATACAATGTTGAATTAGCACCTGTTTCTCTAATGTGACCTGTATTATTTTCCAGTGTAAATAAGTCTCTACTTAAAAGAATTTCTGAGGGTATATTTACAGAGCATTTTCTTTGTTAATATTATCATTTTGGCACAGTCTTTACCCACATTATTAGAATTCAAGTATCAGTGAACCTCTAGGAGACAGTTCCTGTGGATTCAGTGGTACTGCCTTGGGAAGTAGCTTGCCTGAGCATGAACGAAGCTATAAAGTAAGTACATATCTTAGAAAATATTGGATAAATACCATTCTTTATGCATGTGCTTATTATTGTTGGAATGTAGAAAGCAATGATACTTGTTATACCTATAGCAGCTCAATATAGATATTGTGACAAAATTTTTGTCCATAGACAATGAGGTATTTTAAAGATGAATGCTAGGCACATTTTCTCCAATTCTTTTATTTCAATCATTAAAACACTTTTTTCTTTATTAGAAATTTATTATTCATTTGACATACCAACCACAGATCCCCTTCTTTCCCCTCCTCCTGATCCCCTACAGCTTTTCCCCCAATCCACCTCCCTTTCTCCTCCTCCAAAAAAGTAAGGCCTCCCATGGGGAGTCAGCAAAGCCTGGTACATTCAATTGAGGCAGGTTCAAGTCCCTCCCCCTGCATCAAGGCTGTGCAAGATGTCCCACCTTAGGCAATGGGCCCCAAAAAGCCATCTCATGCACCAGGGATAGATCCTGATCCTACTGGGGGGGGGGCGCCTTAAGCAGACCAAACTACACAACTGTCTCAATTATGCAGAGGGCCTAGTCCAGTTCCACAGAGGCTCCACAGTTGGTCTAAAGTTCATGAGTTCCTACTAGCTTAGTTCGGTTGTCTCTGTAAGTTTCTCCATCATGATCTTGGGAAATTCCCACGAATCCCTAAGGACGACCCAGCTTAGACTACTAGCAGTAGTGGAAAGGGTATCTGAGCTGGCTTACCCCAGTAATCACATCGGTGAATACCTTAACTGTCATCAGAGAGCCTTCATCTGGTAACTGATGGAAGCAGATGCAGAGATCCACAGTCAAGCACCAAGCCAAACTTCAGGAGTCCAGTTGAAGAGAGGGAAGAGGGATTATATTAAAACACATTTTTAAGGAAACATTTTTGAAAAGTTTCCGTTCAATTGCCAGAGTTTTCTTGAATTCTGAGGTCTGTGTCAATCTATGTGGTATTAGTTGTCAGAGGTGATGTTGATTTTAATAGTGTGAGATAACTGGACAGAAGTTGCAATCTGGTTAGATTCCTCACAGATGTTGAAATTAAGCTATTTCTC